GAAAAGCACCCAAGCTTCAGGCCAGACTTTAAAACTCTTTTTCACAAGAAACTTTACAGCCTTGGCTGTCCCCACCCCTTCTGCTGGATTCTGCAGGCAGGTGTATGGGCTAAGGCTGTGTTAGGGAAGAATTTACACTGGAATCTGTTGGATGGTTGAGGTGCTGTGTGGTTTCCTAGGTGGACGAGAAGTTCAGAACTAACCTGTGCAACTACTGACAGTGTGGGTTTTTTTCAAATCAGCTGTTGATATTGTGACACTGTCCACGTTAAAATATGTCTTTGACCTTGAAAATGACATGTTTATGCAAAACTTCATTGCTACATGTAAGATACAGGTCACTGTATACTTTTCACAGAAGCATATGTCACTTAAATAGAAGCAACTGGTAATTCATTAATGGATATTGACAATACATTCCTAGTATTTTGACTCATATAGAGTCAGGTCGTCTATACCTTCAAGGTATATACAGCTGATCTTAGTAACATTAACATCTGCCTCACTTCTTCTGAGGCAAAAAGCACATCAATGCTTCCATCTTCAACTAGATACCACACAAGACCAAAAAATAGATGTTAGCAAGTGTTTAAGTTTGCTGTTACTTGGCTTTATTCTGTGTTGGTAGCACAATCCGAAATGCAGTGGCAGAACTGTAATATTGTGGGGTTTCTAAGCATAAAGCACACATGCTTGTCACTTTAAGCTGAAGAGTAATAGTAGTGGTTATTGTACAAGTAACAGTTTTTGCATTCATAGGAAGTTTTGTTTACTGTCTGTAATGTGATGTTTATCTCTGGCCCTGTTCCTTGGATACCTTTGACCCTGTTGACTGTTTCAGTGTCATAGAAATTAAAGGATTTGACAAGTTGTTTTTCTTGTCTGGTTCCCAAGTACCACCTCCAGCACCTCAGAGGGAGGGCTGTGGGCTGCAGCCATGTCCTCAGTAGGATGGACGTGGGAGCAGATGCTGAGTGACACGTTCTCCAGTGTGTCACCAGGAGTGATGAGTGCCACGGGGGCTGCAGACCTTGTCTGTCCCACCAGGTCACTGTTGCCTGCCCATGTGTCTCTGCAGCAGCTGATGCTACTCAGGGTGCTCACATGAGTCCACTGCTGTGTAGTGAAGACATGATGGCTCTTTCCTGGAAGAGTTTACAGTCTAAATTATAAAGGAATAAGGTAGAAACAGAGAGCAATTGGCCTTTTCTGGCATGTGGCTTTCCTTGAATTTCATAAGTATACTCTAGGTTGTTTTCCTTTCTCTTTCTTTTCCTCCTCTTCTAGCAGCAGGATGGTGGTGTATGTACAGCAGCCTTACCCTTAGTGGGCTAACATCTGAAACTTTGAAATACTCAGTACAGGAAAACAGCTAAATTCTCTTGTTTTACGTATTGCCTGATCTTGAAAATTGCAGGTTTTTTTAAATCTAGGTGAAGTCATTTAAATAGAGACAGGACACTAAGGCCACATTAATAACCTCTTTAAAAACAATTGTGTTCAGGTTTGTTTAAACAAGTGTTGATGTGAACTGTGAACTTTTCAATGCTTTAATGAAATAAGATCCCCTACCTCCTAGTGTTAGTATTTTCATTGTTATTTTAGCACTGCCTTGAGACAATATTGTCTATACTGACTGCCCTCCCCAACCCAAGTATTTCAGGAGCTGAAATCTGAAATCTGGCAGGTTATTTCAGTTGCATTAGCAGTATTTGGACTTTACAGGAATGCTACTTTTGAATTCATCCCATTCAAGAAGAGCAATCTAAGCCCACAGCCATCACCCAGATGGTCATATAACCTCTGCTCCCTTTTCTAGCTTGGCCCCTGCCCTTACCTCAGGTAAGGTAGACAGAGTTGCTGTCATCTGAAGTTCTGATGCTCCTTTCTGTGATCAAGGTGTGTGAGATCAGCCTGTGGTGTTTCCCTTTGCTGCACACAGTTCTGTGTGCTGAACTGAGTGACTTGAGATGGGAATTGCAGCCTCTCAGGGGTTCTGGGTGGTACCTGTGGTTTTCATGTTGGTTTCAGCTGTTTCGTTTGAGCTCAGAAGTCCTTCAGGATTTTCTCTATATATATTTCTGTGCAGCCATTCTGTGTTTGAAGGCTTTTTGCTGTCTCAAGAATGCTGCAGGGTTCTGAGAGGAGCCAGACCACAGCCAGAAGGGTCTTCTACAAGTTGCACTTTAACAATTAAAGCCTGACAATTCTGGGCAGAGTCTTAGGAAGGAGAACACATCTCGTGGGGAATTAACACTGACACCCCACTGTGCCTGGTAATTGGGGAGGGGTGGTGTGTGAGTGAGGGAAATAATATGGAGCTCACCTCTGCAGCCTGGTTTTGACTATTTTCCTAGGCAGTCTTTAAAATTCTGTATTACTGAAGATATATTTAAAATACTGAAGTTCATGGAATTCAGAGGCTGATGAAACTTTTCTCAAATCTCAGTCTGGCCCTAATTCTTGATGGCATCCAACATCTCTGCTTGCTTTTTTTGTGTTTTCTAGTCATTCACTGTCATACTTGGTGGTTTTGATGTTAAGAACATGCTTTTCTTGATGTAGACAAAGCGTGAAATTTAACAGAAGATTCCACA